TGTTTTCGGCTAAGTATTCACATGTGCATGTGCTGCTAAGTATTCACAGGCCGGACAAATTAACTGTGCATTTCCCCCTCCCTACCCCTGGGCCCTTTGCTACCCCACCCGCTACTCGGGAAACAGAAGGAAATCGCACTCAACGCACTTGTGTGTTGGTGCCTTTCCTTCTGTTTCTCCTAGCCTATTGCTAGCTACCCGGGCGGTTTAAGACAAATGTCCCGCTCGCGCTCTACTTTCATTTAACTAAGTGGGCCTCGTAACTACCCCTATCTTTCTTTCTTGCCCTCTTAGTCTTCTTTTGTTTTGTTTGCTTTGTCTGTCTTTCTAAGGCTTTTTAGGTGGCTATTAGTTTTTTCGCAGCGCCAATATTGGCGCTTTCTGTACAAAGCTCCACTTTCAAAGTTCTACACAACGCCTGCCACCGCTTTTGAAAAAAGCGCCGATGACGGCGAACTGTGTGTGTCAACCCCTGGGCCAAGGGTTTCCTACCGTCACTTCAACCCCCACTTTCTACCCACAGTTTCACCGGCAGGGGGCGACAGGGTCACTGCATGGCTGTCGCCAACGAAGCTCCTTGCAGTCGACCAGGATGCGGGGACTGATCATCCCTGTGTACCTGCACCTTCAACTGTTGATCACGCTGTCCAATCTCCTTTTTTGTTTCCATGGTGGTTCATGATACTCCCCACAAACCTACTCTGCCCCAGCAGCTGCCGTTCGCCGCTCGTCCGCTGCTGTCGCGAGTCTGCAGATGTGCACAAACCACTTGTTCAAACATCTACAACTGATCGGACTCCTCACCTTACCGTTGAGCCATTCCTTTCCTTGGGGAACTGAGTTAACTGAATACAATTGTCAGAGTGTGTGTCAAACCCCGTTCCGAGGGTCACTAACCTATTCTATTCTATTCTATTCTATTCACTTTTCCCGCCATTTTAACAGCAGCAGGGGGACATGGCGTGCTTTCAGGCACCATGTCCAACGAAGCTACCTGACGCACGGGAAGAGAGAGCTGATCACTCTCATGTACCTGCCAATTTTTTAATCACTTCAGTTAATTCAAATCTTGTTCAAACATTCTGTTCGACTGACTCTGCATTCTTGCGGTTCCTTCGAGTCAAGGGCTAAGTATTCATTGGCTACTGCAGTAACATAAAGTGCTAATGCTCACCGCGAATTCTCTGAAGCCACGCTCCGCGGAGCACTCATCTTAGGTGTGTGTCCCACCCCGTATTTGGTTGTTCATGCAAGTACCAGCCCAACGAAGAGGCTTGCATCGAACATTGATACAGTATCGGTGGGGACGCCCACTGACGTACCTGCTTGTGACAAGACAAGACACAACTTTTCCTGCACTGTTCCTTGCTTTCATGGTTCTTTCATGATATTCCCCCAACCCAGCGGATTTGCAGCTTTGCGGCCGGTCTCGCGCGTGTGTTCACTGCAACCAATGTTCAAACACCTTCAAGTCGACCGACTCCGCAGTCTTGCAGTTCTCGCATTCATTTCTTCGTGGAATATCTCACTGAATGAAACTGATCGAAGTGTGTGTGGGCGCGCGTGCTTACTAGGAAAAGGTCTAGACAAGAACCCAAAATGATGACAAAGGGACATCGTCGCTTCTTTCTTTGGTGAGAGTGAGACGTTTAATTGTTTTTGTCACCTGCGAAGGCCCAGGACTGTGTTGTTCTGCATTCTCCAGCCGGAAACGAAATCAAGTGTTTCCAAGAGACTTGGCCACATCATCACCGTCCGGGAGCATCATGATCTCCTCATCCTCCCAGCTGAATATGCATAAAACACAATGCTCACAGGGGTCTATGAGTTGAGATGGTCTGTGCAAGAAGAACCACCTAGATGTACCAAAGCTACGAAGCGGGATGGACCTACAGCCATCATCAGCAATCAAGGAGTCGAACAGCACATGCCAATCATTCCAACACCCCCTGCGTGACACCCATCAAGCTCGCGGTCCTTGACACACCTGAGTTACAATGGCTTTCAATATCTTTCAATCATCGGATGATGTTGTCCTTTTCATGTCACCATGTGGAACATGAAGAAGGCTTCCGTGTGTTCGCTCCGCTCTCCGCTCTGCGCTCAGCAAAGAGTCTGGTAGGTCGACTCCAGGGCAGAGATCCGATGGACGAAGCACTGCTGCTCCGGGCCACATTTCTTGCTCCCACACTGCGCATTCCTTGAATTCTGGACAATGGAATCTCCCACACTGTGAGCCAAGTTGAAGTACATAGTGGACGTCCATCTTCCCTTCCGTCGGTTGGGGTGGTTCATTTGGTTGTAAAACTAGAAGATTGGCTTTTCCATCAAAAACCCAATCAGCAAAAGCCTTGACACGTGCTCGACACGTGGAACCCTCACTGTCAAGCTAGATTGATTTGCTGATCCGCTGCTGACCCTGTTCTCATATGTCTTTCAAGCACCCGACATTTGGCTAGCACACCCGCATGGGGACATGCCAAACACATAAGAGGCAAACTCTTGTCCCAAAATGTCCCAAATCTCATTTCATGATTTCGACCATCTCTTCGACACAAGTTGAGACTGGTCTGCCACTGGTCTTATTCCGCGACAGCCATGTTCAAGTCTTGTGTTGGGCCGTGCTGTGTTTTGGAAAAGTGCATGTGCTGTGGGCACAACAGCCGCCTGCCCCTTGGCCAACGAGAACACCCGAAGTTTGTTGGACAAGGCACTCAGAGTCATCTATCTTTCCTCGGTGGAGCAAGTTCTAAGCAACTTGGACAGGCTTGCTGGTGCGCTACTAAATGTGTGTGGTGTAGGGCACCAACGCGGCAAACCAGGAACTTCGCCGCTTGGAGTGTCTTCGCTGCTTGTAGCTTCGTCTGCACAAGGGCATTGCGAAGACACCATGGCGAGTTTGCAAGTTTGCCGCCATGGCGTCCGATGTTGGCATCTCCGCAACATTTGGGATGTTATCTTTTTTCTCCTCTGCCTCCTCTACTATAGTGCAACTCGCGTATCAAAAACATATCAAACACGCATGTGCATGGCCTTTATTGACCAGCAGTAGCCACAAAAAGAGTGTGAGGTATGTTTTTAGGATTGTCAATAGGTGGCCAACATGTATCGGGAAGGGTGGCCTCTCCCCCCAGCTGCCGTGCATCGCACTGCCTGCCGAGCTGCGGACATCCCATGGTTCACAGCCTGTAGATGTCACGAGACATGCCAAAGGAAGCGTCAGTCCCATTTGTTCACATACAACATGCTGAACTACTTGTGTTTGTCTGGAATTTAAGGGCCGTGCTAGGAATATCTAAGGTCCCATTTTAATGTGATTGGGGTGCTTCTCTCAACTTTTGCTAGGCTAGCTAGTAGCCGAGATACAATTACAAAGTACGTAGGGATTTGGGTTGCGTCTGTGGCCTCTTAAACCTCAAACCTCTGCTGGTTCGACCACGCAGTCAGAGTCCTTCAAGTTCTTAGCCAATTCCTGCCAGAATCTCGTCACGGTCTTATTTCGCCATTGCATAGGTCAGCATACCAGGCTCTACCGGCCCAAACCCAGCCCCAGTGATAGCCATGCTGCGCATCAGGTTGCTGCAACGATACCAGGTGTTCTTCTTGACGTCAAAAATCATTCTTGCTTCATCCTTTGTTTCGTACATCGTGTCCAAAGAGATTCATATGGCATCCATGCAAATCATCTCGTATTACTGTATCCCTCTTATCAAACAACCAGGCATGCCTTCATGAGTGTTAGAAGTTCTACCAGAGCTCCTGGGCAGTCCGTGCATGTCAGTGCTGTGATGAACCGCATGCCAGTCTCTGGTCTCTGTGGTTTCACCGGTTGATGTCTTTCGGTGTCTTTGACTTGGAATACAGCCCCGTGGATGTCAATGGGCAGCCTACTCCGTCCCTCTCACAAACTCCATGACATTCCGCCCAGTGTCAGCATCGTTTGTGGGGCCACTGCAGTGTCCTTGCGGAGGTTCAGCCAGTGTTGGATCCTTCTCTTCTTGCGGTCCTGAATTGATGAATCAAACTTTTTTGCGGTAAAAAAAGGGCTATATATATACAATATACTATGTACAGTAATACTTCTCCCATCCTCCTTCATTCAACCCTGATCCGGGGCAAACTGTTTCCCAACAAGCCTGAATTGCTTGGCCAAACCAAGTGCCGAGACCGATTGGACCAGATTTGCCATGCCAGTCCTGCACCATCATCATGAGGCTTCCCCTTGGCTCGGAGCTGGCGGCCGTGCTGAGTCACACACACAGTGACACACTCGGCATGGGGAAACCTGTATATGATGATGGTCAAAACACCCGAAACCCCACATGGGATGATACGAAA